ATCTTAGTATAGACAGACTTACACCAGAGCAACGCCTGTGAATAGTTGAAATTTTAAAAATAAAAAATTAATTAAAATTATTATAATTATTTTAGCTTCGTTTTTAGATTAATGCTCATAATACTCATAATAATAATACTCATAATCAAAAAAAGATGTCATTAAATTCTAACTCATTTATGCCCTCAGCTAAATGGATAGCGTCCACTTGGCATACAATTTTAGTTGACATTGAGATGCGGTATCAGCTGCTGTGGAGCGTCTACTTTGTCTGTTCCAGATGCCCCAAGTTTGCCCAGACAATTGGCTGTCAAAGTGATGCAGTAGCATTTGGAGTCGAAACTGGCTGATTTTGAATATTATAAATATGCAAATAGCAGCTGGCTGGGCGACAAGTTGGTCAGGTGCGGCTGTCGTGGAGTCGGTTCATTAAACTGGCGCTGCCCGAAAGTGTGCAGCACTTAATTAGTGTGTGAGGCCCCAACAAAAGTTTAATGAACTTGCTGGGCGTGGGCGTATGGGCGTATGGGCGTATGGGCGTATGGGCGTGTTGGTAAAATCAAAACGTGGGGAGCAAGGACACCGCCCCAAGGCGTCTGCACAAATTAGTTACAGAAGCAAGGCGCAAAAAGGATATGCGCAAGTGGTCAACAACTATGAGGGAAGGAGCAGAGGGGAAAGACGCAAAGGGAGTCAGACACGAGCCAAGGCAAACGGCCAGCAGCTGCGACTACTGCTGCTGCTGCAAAGGACCTCAATGAATGACATTTAATTATTTCATCAAGAAAGCAAATAGCCCAAGGAGCAAACAATCAACTTCTGCCCAGCATAAGGCATTGGCATATTTTTCTCTGTTGTCCCTTTTCTTATTATATTGTTTGTGATGCGAGCCCACATTATGCTGTTAGCAGACGCAGCCATCAGCAGCAGTGCCCAAAAAGCAACCAGGCAGCAGCACAATGTTTTCGCTTTTGGCCTGTGCCAAAGGATTCACAACACCAAATTGTTTGCGATTCATGGAATTAAGGCAGCGCACACAGGCACATCAAAGCAGCATAAGAAAAGACAGAAAATTCCTAGATGCAGATCTTTTATAATTTAAAAAATTACTATTGATCATATTATTATGTTCTATTTTATTATATTATATATTATATTATATTATTATTATATTATATTATTATATTTATTATTCTATAATTTATAAATATTTCCAGTTAAATATTTCATATTCCATGTTCGACTTGATTGAATGATTCTATTTTATATCTCTTTGTCTTTGACACACATATTTAACATGGAATTGCTGGAGTATATTCAATAGTTGAAAATTATTTAAAATCTGACAGCTTTAATATCTTTATATAAAATTAATAATACAGCTAAAATATGCCAACCACACAAGCCACCTTCCTCAGACGTGTCAGCGATGCTGAGCGCTACACACGCAACACTGAAATCTCAAACAGTTTCAACGCTGAAGACATAGGGAACAAGCAATTAGCAACATATCACTGCCAGCTTTACATACTTGCCGGTAGACTCCGCCACAAAGAAAGACGCTAAAGTCTCAAGAGTATATACCCAGCACACTTAATCACTTTATTTAATTTTCATCTCAATATTGAAATAATCTCCCACCTCAGCTAAAAGCCTCGACTTCTATCTGCAAGATATAATAACATTGATCCAGATATAGCTCGCCAAATCTCCCTTACATAATAAATTACATTACAAGGTCTTCCTTGCTTAGCTTCACTGTGCAAGCACTAAAATTCTCAAATAGTTATAGGAAGTAAAGTAAAAAGAGTATGACGATCAAATCGAATGCAAAGTCTGCTTATGATAGTCTCAACATGTTTTCAATGAACTCCTCCACTAAAAAAGAGCTCACTTTCTCCCTGTTAATGCATTGATTTATGCTAAAACATTATATTTTCAGAGACTTATATTATGGGACATACAGGAACTTGAAAGAAAGATCATTTCCAACTCAAACGTTTTACTGGCTGCTGTGTCTGAATTTAAGAAATTTAAATTAAGAATATTAGGTGTTATCTCAATTGTCTTTCTCAGCTCCTGCAGGTCTTTATGCGACATGTTCTTGTGTAAGATCAGTTTATAATTAATTTTAAACTTAAGCCACTCACTGCCTAAAGCCCTAATCTATTTAAAGAAAAAACTGGACACTGACCTCAATTAACTATAATTGCAATCAATTGGTAGTCCTCTATTGTAGCTTTCATCATCTGAAGTTCTTACAACAAGTTCACACCATCAATTAATCAAGGCGCTCGACTAAATTAATTATGCAACATGACAATCAAACTAGAAAAATAGAAGACAAAGAAGAGAATGTGTCCTCCAGTGAAGTGCTTTTGGCCAGCAGGCAGGACGTGTTACAAAGGACCAGAGGCAACTAGCTGACCTCGCGACGCTGCTGTCTCTGACAATTACGCAAATTGTTGTTGTCATTATGTAAACACTTGTTTATGTCAAATTTGACATTTGATACGAGCTGCAGACGGGAGCCATTGTACGTGAACACACACACACACACATTCGAAGAGATTTTGGTAGAGGCAAAGACTGGGGCCTGGCTGACCTGTCAGACGACAGGTGCGCTTGGACATGTCCATGTTACAGTTGATTAAGTAGGCGCTGAGTTCGACGAAATGGTTTTTAGATGGCGCCCACTCGATAGCATCTGCTGTCGGCCAGGTGGAAGAGGAACCGTTGATCGGGTCACAGGACGTGCCAAATTATTGACAGCGTGACGCCAGCTTGCCTCGCAACGTACTCACAGTGCTTGCCCTCTGACTGCCCGGATGGTGGGTTGATTAATTAGAAGCCAAAGCCAGCGGGCTAACAGCAATCCTTCCGACTTTCGTCCTTCGCTCGTCATTCTGGCCATGTGCGTGCGCCAGTGACCGCGTCATAAGTCGCCATGGGGCGGAGTCGAGTCGAGTCGAGTCGAGTCGAGCTGAGTTGAGTGGAATTGAGTTGGTCATTAACACCAAACAAAGATACTACCAACAGGCGCTGGCCACGCTCATCATCATGCTTGAGCGCCTCATCCGGTGTTTAGGCAACGCACGCTTTGATGCTTGCCTCAAATTGTTTAACTTGGACATGCCCATATTTGAAGTGCGTTATTTAATCGAGCTGCGTGTGCTCTGCTGCTGCTGCTGCTGCTCCTGTTGTTGTTCAAGTTAATTTCCGTTGTGCGAACTACTCTCAGTTTTAAGCTGTGTGTGAAGTAGCTCTGATGAATCGTAACAGCGCGTATTCAATGTGTGTTCAGATGGAGCCAGGTAAGAGCTTTAAAGCTAAACTTCGGCGAGATTTAGTATGAATTAATATTAAAGGGAAGTAAAATAAAGTAAAGTTATATATATTACTCAGCAAGTAAGCAATATTAGTTTAAATATAATTTATCAGTCATAAAATTGACTGTTGAGCAAATGCATATAAGGGTATATAATCTGAGCTGGAGTCCAAATATGCCAAAATTGGCCACAAAAGACTTGTGGGGACTACATCGACGAACAGCAAACAGTTGGAAATCATGGAATAACCAGAACAAGAAAATAATTTAATACAAAAGCTAATAGTACTACTCCTACTACTCCCCTCAATATGGGAAAATACATATACATATGTCGGTGAGTCGAGTATTTGACAAGAATTTGAAATGGGGTATTATTTATTAGGCTGTGTTAGACAGAACTGCAGCAAAGAGAGATCGGGGTGACAGTCAATGCTGTGGTGTCTTAGATAAATTCAAGTATATGAACGTTGTCGTTATTTGTTTCTGAAGACGAAGCCCAATGCGGAGGACCATACTCTCATACTTTGACATAACAACATATTGTAGTCACACACACAAACGTCGATATCTGTAATACAAATAAATTTGACTCTGATTAGCCTTCCACTAACAAACCAACCGAATCTGTGGAGCAATTGTTTAACTCAAATGTCTTCAACTCCATAAAGAAAATTAAAACGCCAAATGCTGAGAGCTATAACGAAAACAATAATTATATTAATTATATTATAATTAAAAATTCCGCCTGCTGCTCCGACTAACTGTGTTCAAGCATGAACATGATGAGGATCACAATTGTTGTAGCTCAAACAAAAAATATAAAAACACACTTTTAAATAGTTTAGTTTAGCTTTTGGCTCATATATAAGCTCAAACCTGACTCATTCTAGTCAAGTGCTTGATCGATGCTGTTAACTCAATTCAATTTGCTATAGCCCACGCAATGGCTATTAAACATTTGGCAAGCTGCCAGTCAAACTGATGTCTTATAATAATAATCCATATATCAGCTATCTTATTAGCTAGTCAGTTGGAAAACCCGTAACTTGTTTTACTTCGATCGTATTATGTCGATTGCGAGTCCTTTTATTGGCCAACCTCTTGGCAATTGCCAATTGTTGGCATAAACAAATGCTGCACGGCCAAGTGAATTGTCTTATCGCTTGTCGGAGATTTTACTTTGCTACTTAAACAATACAGCTTTACGAGTTGGCCTCCATTGGGCACCCAGCGCCCACTTTACGCTTGCAGCTTATCCCCCTCTACGATAATGGCCACTGTAAATCTCGTCTTTCAACTGCTCGCAATTCTCACAGTTCGCACAATACAATTTCGATGCGTTTTATCGAATGCTCCTTGTCTGCCAAACGTCATGCACATGTCCAATACAAGCGAGTGTGTGTGTGTGTGTGTATGCCTGGTCTTCGAGTTGTTGCTATTTTGTTGCACACTTTTGTGCATGCTCGACGGCAAATTGAATTTATGCGCTGCAGGCACATTTAAAGCAGAGCAAGGACCGCATTGATTGTATTCCGGTAAGCTATGGAGCTGCCGGGGAGTGCCCCTATGGCTTTTGAGCAATGCAATCCTTGCCTGTATGTGCATAAGAAATGTGCGGAGAAATCTGAGCGCAGAGTGTGTAGAACAGACTGGAAAATATTGAGTTGGCTTTAAATAGTTCCGTTTGTCATTAGAGTTATAGAATTTATGATTGACGGAATTTGAAATTTATTTGTTAACAGGAGGGACAAACTTAAGACTAAACAGTCGACAAGTGGACCAGCTACTCCTCCTCAGGTTCCTCCTCCTGGACGACCTTCGGCTTCGGCTTGCGCCTGGAGGCGCCACGCACTCGTGCTGGCCTCTTGGTGGTCGTTGACTTTGGCTTGGGGTTCTCCAGTTCATCCAGCTCCGCATCGGTTAGACGATCCTTATACCAATCAGCGCTGCATATAAAAGCTTTAGCATGCCTTCAAGGTAATGTTTGATTAATGCAGCTCTTACCAGTCCGGCACCTTGCGAGCCCAGTCGCAGGTCTTGTTCTCATCATCGAACACCTGCCCCAGCTTGCAGCCATTGCGGCGTGGCACGTCTCCATTCACGCACACATAGAAGAACTGGCAGTCGTCGGGATCAGCGTATCTCGGATGGGTCACTGCAATGCTCTCGTTCACCTTGGGGCACTGGAACTCAAAGATATCCTCCGACTTGCAGCCAGTGACGCCCACCTCGTCGGGCCACGTGCAGATGCCAGTCTTCGGATTGAATACCAATCCCGAGGGACAGGTGATCATATTGAACTGTCCATCCACACAGAAGTAGAATTTATCGCAAATGCCGGGCTTCTCGTGACCAAAGTATCCGTTCTTGCGTGGGCAGTGCAGCGAGGATTGTGGAGTTTCTATTAAGGATTAAATAATTATAGAATGTATTATAAAATAATAAAATATAAAAATGTCCATATTTACATAATAATATATTTAGAATTGTATTGTTCATCGATTATCTAATTCTACAAAAGGCTCTACATATTTTATTATTTCTACTAAAGGTAGTTCTCGTACTTCTGCAACTGAAGATAGTTCTACGACTCCTTCTACTGAAGATACTTCTACTACTTATTCTCCCACTACTACTACTACTACTACTACTTCCATATTTGTTTTACAACTACTTTAAATACTTATACTATATATGCTAATACTTTTACTATTACTTCTACTACTAATACTACTATTACTTCGACTACTTAAACTACTATTCATATATCTCGAAAAACTTATAATACTACTTCTACTACTCTATTACTGCTATTACTACAACACTATTGTTACTACTATTACCAATATAATTTCGACTACAGTTTTTAATACAATTTCTACTACTTCTTCTACTACTACTTCTACTACTATTTCTACTACTACTTCTAATACTACTTCTTATACTACTTCTACTACTACTTCTACTGCTATTTCTGTGACTATTACCTCTATTACGACTATAGTAGTACTACTTCTACGACCTCATCAATAGCCAGTTCTACTACGTTTTACTACTATTTCTACTGCTACTTCTACTACTACTTCTACTACTATTTCTACTACTACTTCTACTACTACTTCTACTACTACTTCTACTACTACTTCTACTATTACTTCTTATACTACTTCTACTATTACTTCTTATACTACTTCTACTACTACTTCTACTGCTATTTCTGTGACTATTACCTCTATTACGACTATAGTAGTACTACTTCTACTACCTCATCAACAACCAGTTCTATTACGTTCTACTACTATTTCTACTGCTACTTCTACGATTACTACTACTTCTACTTCTGCTTCTACTACCACTACAACTACAACACCTACTTACACTACTGCTACAACGAGCACTATTACAACTTGTAGTAAACATATGCATTCTTTAAAGATCCTTTACCAGAGTTTTTTTCTATAATTTATATGGTGCACTTTGCATATGAAGTCGTGTGTTTTTTATTCCTCCACAGCATAGTTTGCAGTGTCCAGGCAGCATTCTTTGGCTGCAGTTGTTTATGCTGTAAGCTGAAAGTTTACTGCCGCAGCAGTTTGCCAACAGTGCAACCTACTGGAAGCACATATCTTAGCAAAACCAACTTCCTGTGGCCCAACGCTGGCATTTCCTCTGGCAAGGACCATGCTAGAGCACAGACTTAAATCGATTATGCTGCAGTCCTTAGACAAAGGAAAAATAGTATTTTAGAGAACCATATGCTGGTCAAAGGCAAAGGTAATTGAAATTGCCAGTGGGCGAATATTAAGTGTGCTAATTGCTTTGATGGACGAACAATTATTTATTTAAATTTTGAGAGCGAACAGCTCCGAGTTGCAGCAAATATCAGGCCATCAGGTTGTGTGAGCATACCAAATGGGCATGTAATGGGGCTCACGTAAAAATATTACTAATTGGAAATTAGAAAATACAGTCGACTTTAAGCCTCTTTACTGCCATTGCAAATGTGCTAAGGCAAATGGCAAAAGCCTTCAAGGCCACGTGTCGGCCCAAAGGCTTCCTACCCCGCCCCAACAATAAAATCATACTGAGCGTGACAAAATAAAATAATAAAATCAGAAATAAAACAAGTCTACCAAAGAAATGGCCAAAATAAAAACGAAGCACCCAAAACAAGAGCGAGACCCCGGCACAAGCCGGGTCCAAAGACCCATTGACGACGACAATTTGGGTTAACCATCTCGCATGCTGTTTTGCATAATAAATAAGTTAACTTTATTTTTTTTATTTCTTTCAGCTTTAAAGGTACGCGTAACGAGCAAATAAGTGCGGGCACGGCTGTTGTGTTTATTGGACTGATTTTAGTCAGGTTTAAATATAGCTGAAAGCGTGAGATTCCACGCTGAGCCACACGCTCTGCATACATAAAATAAATTAAAGAACAGAACTTGGCTCGATACTCACGCAACTTGGAACGCTTCGTGCAATCAATGTTATACGGCAAATCGCACTTCTCCTCGATGGGCGTGTAGTCGTTGAAGACCATGCCATCGGCACACAGACGCTCCGTGGGCACACCATCTCTGTAATTAGACGAAAGCCACAGCTTAATTTGTGCATTACCTAAAATATATTAAATGAGTTTGCTAATATGGCTTAGAGGTTATACAGAGAGTATTTACTGTAACTCAGCTCTTGTCCTGTTTCCACCTTCTATTTTTATGCACACAAAGAACTTACACATCATTTGATTCGTGTCATATTTTAACACTTTTTTCAGCACACCTGAATTATTAATATCGCCCACCTGAAACGCCAATGGTGCGAAAGATGAACAAACGCGCATTTGTACGCATCACTGATTAAAGCGAAAAAAGAAGGTAGCCAAAGAAGTTCAAAGAATGAGTTGGCTAATGCTGAGAATAAAAAGCACTCTGTATAAATTTCTCATTGTAATATATTAAAATAATGATAAATAAAAGGTGCTGACTCATATTAATATGAACTAACTGTAACTGAAGATTCGAATTGTAGTAGTAATTATAAAAAAAATTCAAGTGGGTTCTATGCATTAAAATAATATAATTTAATAAATTATAAATTTGTCATGCTGAATAAAAATATCCATATTTTTTGTAACTTTATAATGCTGTCAGTGAACTTAAGATATGGTATTTTCGAAAATATTGTATATTATTATGGTGTCGTCTACCAAATGTATTTAATACTTTGACAACAGCTACACACTAAATTACGGTTAGATCCAGTTAAGATTCAGACTACATTCAACTTAGATTCAGCCTAGAATTATTTTCGATTATAGTAAATTATAGTTAAATTGTTGGTAAAGATAAGTCAAGTTTTTGGTTACTAAAGTTTTTTAACACAACAAAAGCCGAGCATAAATTACGCAACTGAAATGAAAAAATGTTGTTAAAAATCATCAAATTTCTATAAATCTAATATATTTCTTTATTTGACATCACAATTCAACAGCTTTTCTATATGTTTTTAAATAAGTAAAATTCTTAATCTCTATTGCAAGTTTTCTCGACTGCAAATTATAAACTTCTTTAAGCACTAATCAGACTTTATCCAATATCTGATACACATATATGGAAGTAAATATCTGTAAAACTTACAGGCACGCATAGTATTTATCGCACTGTTTGGTATCCGGATAGAAGCCATTTGGTTCTGGGCACTCCTCGCTGGGCTCATACTCCGCCGCTGCCTGCACTTGTTTGCGTTTGGGCTCCACTGCTGCTTCCTGGACGGGATCGCGTGTCCTTGGCGGTAAATGGCGCTGAGATGGCGGATGGCCCGGACCCACCCGTAAATACGCACGCTGAGCCAGCGTTGTTCCTGTTAGAGAGAAAACGAATATTGCATAATATTAGCAAGAGCATTATTTATATTATTCTATTGAATGAAAATGAAATGGAAATAGAGTCGATAAACTAAAGATAAGAATTTTTTAGTTTTTAAGAATATAAAGCTAAAAGAATTTTTATGGCAAAAATGATTTAGAAACTCTTAAAAATAAAATACAAATTTAATAAAAAAAATACTTATATTTTTATATATATACATATATACATATGCTTATGAAAACAATATAATCATTTTTAAACACATTTTGGAATTATCTATTTGGCTTATTAAATGAGCAGAAGATCAAAAAAATTAAACCAATTAAATTATATTATTTTCAATTTAACTTAATTTAATTAATGACATTTTTTTTTCTTTTTCAAAGTTTGATTCTTTAAACAATAAATATACATTTGTAAATTTTTAATATATTTAATTTAATTTAAAATATATTTAAAAATGTATATTGTGTGAATATATTTATAAATTATATTTTATAAAAATATTAACAGATATGAAATATATTTAAAAAAAATTTGTTAAAAAGAAAATTTTCTTATTAATAAAAATGAAAAAATAGTTTAATAATTTTCAATAACTTAAAATTTCTTAAACACATAAAAATTTTGCTTTATCAAATTAGCATAGAACTGAAAAATCCACCAATTAATTATTTTATGTATAATTATTTATATATAATTATTATTATATCCATTTAAAAAAAGATGTTTTTATTTTTCTCTTACAACACAATCGTAAACTTAAGTTATTTATTTTATTATTTACCGGCCGGTCATCATTTACACGAACTACAACTGCAATTTTGTTCAGTGCATGACACAACTTTTATTTTTTCTTCATATTTTTGCTGTTTCATTTGTAGACGCTTAAAACCAGTTGTTGGCACTTAATATATGCCGATATGTATATGAGTAAGCGCGTTGCTTCGTTGTTTTATGAACGGAATGGGGATTGTGACATGGGCTAATCGGGCAAGCGACCTCAAAAGTGAAAGTTACAAGTTAAAAATATCTAAAGAAGCGCCAAATCAGCTGTTTTTTCTGACAATCAGCTGCGGCGGGTGCTGGCGGCAAGGCATGGCCAAGGCGTCATCCACTCGCTCAAACAACAACGCAGCCATTGCCATGCACTTCCGACAAGCTACAGCGAATTGCAACAACTCGTGGCACTTCAAGGTAAACCACTTTAAATGGCAGCAATGCAAAAAAAATAAAGGCAAAAACAAAAGAAACTCAAAATATAAAACACGATCAAGTCACGAAAATACAAGAAAAGACGAATTCAATTAAATTCCAAGTCGAAGAGCTGTTGTTGTTGCCTATTGGACTGTGACTGCGACGAAGACCGCCGCTGCTTGACATTCGATTAAACGTTAATAAAGAAACAATTCCACAGAGCAATTAGTGCGTAAAGTGTCAGGCAACATTTAAGCCGCCACCAACACCAAAACCAACAACAATAAAAACAAGTTGTTGCCACTGCAGCTGCCGCTTGTCATTGAAACACGTTTTCGTACACGACTTGACCAAAAAAAACACAAACAAAAAAAAAGAAAAATCAAAAAAAAAAACGTCGAGAAAAAACTCACAAAAGCAGAAAAAGTTGCTATGACTTTCTTAGTTGATTTTGGCTATACTCTAGCTGAGAGTCAGTGCAGCACTTCAGCTATGTCAAGAGTTTTGTGTTGGGAATTCTTAAGCGTCCATATCCCTTACCCAGTTGAAAGTTGCTCTAGCTAAGTATATATATCTATATATTTGTCTATACATCTATATATCAATAAGTCCCAATTTCTATAGCCTAGTTGATACTAGTTAATATAAAAAGTCATCTCCCTCTATTATCTAATTAACTAACTATCAATTTATATATAATTACGTATCTATTTATTTATTGACAATATATTTACTTATTTATCAAGATATTTATCAGTATATCTGTTTGTATAATGAAGATTGCAGATTAAAGATCTGAATAGATAGATTTATGTTTAGATATATATCTATAAGTTGTTTGATATATAGATTGAAGGCATATTCATATTGAAGATCTTCTATATTGATTGATTTGAATATATCCCCATGTATAAATCTGTTATTTATATATCTGACTTAAGATTTTATATATGATCTTCTTATGTTCTATCTGTGTTATCTTAATATATATAGCCATATCAATTTCTAATACTCTTTCTATCTGGCTCTACATCTATAAATTAACTTACCCAAATATCTATTATTTTGTAATATACTTTAGCTTCTAACTATCTGACCATCCTTCTATGCAGGTACATAAATGTCTATAGACCTCTCTATATATTAGCTTCTCTTTGGCATATGTTCAACTATGTCGCATATTGTTTGCCCATGCTATTAAAGTTTTCCGTCGATCTGACAGCTTGTCAACAAGTTTATCATAGAATCCCGGTTGCCACAACTGTCGATTGTCCCCTTTCCCCTATCCGCTATCGACTGTGCCCGTCCCCTTTGACTCTATTTCCAGTCCGGTTAAACTAGATTAATTGAGTGCCTTAGCAGCCGTGGTGATGAAATTGAAGGAAAAAAACACCAAAGTTTTTTGTGCCGTGTTTGCTTTCATCGTTGAATCGAATTCGAGTCACACAAATTTGTGGGTGGTCGAGGCTGTCGTCACACAGAAATAAAATGGGCGTGAAACATGCGTGTGAAGTTCATTGAACATTTACCAGATGAAATAGAAACAGCTTGCAATATATTTTCAGTTCGCTTATTCAAGTGTTCTGAGGCGGGAATTAATCAAGGCATTCACACCAAATGGGACAACATTAAAGTTGTCTAGACAGCGCTCAAAAAGGCGTTAGATCAATATGAGAAGCACGTAGAAAGGCGCAAGTATTGACTGAGCAATGGACCAATATTTAAATTGTTAAAGCCTGTCCAATTTGATATTGACTGTCAAGCTCTACAATCAAAAATAAAACAATCTAATTTATTTTCATTATTGTATTTGTTTTATGGTTAGCTTATTCTATTGCAAACAGAACTAGTTGCTATTCTGCACACACAGAATTGCACCGTAATTAAACAGGAATTCTATTTCTGATGCCCACACACACAGCTGAAATTTAATGAGGAGCGGCGCAAACAATTGCCAATAATTTTCATGGCCATTTTAACATGATTACAAAATGTGTTTTACACGCCCACACACAAGCAGAGAAAATTAACAAAAGTACAATTTCAAACGTGTTGGGGCAGACAACATTTTTAATGAAGCTCCACACCAACAAATATGCTAACTAAATACTCTCGCATGTCCAGCTGGGCAAAAACTATATATTAATTGTCGAACATTAGTCAAATATGAATTAAAATGAAATGCATGCGTGCTGACACGTCTATTTATTTGCTAACCAAAATTATGCACACATATGTAAATGCAATTTAAATACAATGCGTAAAATACCAAATAAAAAACATCTTTAGTCGGATGTGCCCGACTAGGAAATACCCTGAACAGTGTGCGAAACGAGAGAGATAATATTTTGTAATGGTTTATTTTAGCAGCTATTTAAGGTATGGATAACAATAAACTATTAGAATATTCTGTGCCATTGAGTAATTATATAAATGTGTGAAAATAATCTTTAAAAAAATTACTAAAATTTCATTTTTAGTGCTTGCCATAAAAGAGATGCAACGTTGGAAATTCTAAAGAAAAAGGTTTTCTGAGTCTGCTCAGACAATTCATTTGTTTAAGCTAACTGCTTCAGAGTTTGAAATATTCCAAATATTCCAGACTCTATAGAATATAGAATATAGCTTTATTAAATATGTATAAAGTCAAAAAAGTTGACTTTTGCTTAAAGCCATGACAACCATGCCAAGATTGCAATTTGATTGATATGCTGATACAGTATGACATAGATGTTACTTTAAAATGAAACTAGAATGTATGATATTTAAAGATTTATATGTTAAAAAATTGATAGAATGTTATTGATAGCTGAGTTGAACAACTGTGAATGAAGATTTTATTTCTCGGAAGAAAGCGGAAAGTTTAAGTTTGTGTATTTATTACCAAAACTATAAATACATGATATTTCAGTTTAAAAATTTTCAAATATTTGGAAATCAAATTAGAAAACTTGTTGAGAGAAATTATAAAACATATGTCAAATTTCTTGATCTTGTAATCGACTATACTGGTATACGATTAGATTGACTGACTTCTTATCAAATAATGTATTTATATACTCTCTTCAATCGACTTAGTTCCAATAAATCGAGGGTATTATAAAGCAATGCCATGCTATTGTTTAAACTCAGTTGACGACAGTTTCCAATTTGATGTTAAATTATTGGGCAAAAATTACATTTGCTGGCGCTATTAATATGCATTTGCCAAACAACTGTTTCAGCTGAGGCTCGAAATGAATGCTAATTGTTTGGCGTTGTCAAATATATTTGAATAAAATTACTCATTATGCTGACTGCTGACTGCTGATGCCATTTCATTAATTGCCATCGAGAGCGATGGGATCGAGCAGCAGCAGCAGCAGCCTTCACTTACCCACTAGCAAAGCAAATATGCAGATTTTTATTGACGCCATTTTGTTCCACAGTTCAACCTGTGCAAAGAGAAGTATTAAGATGTTGTTGTTTTTTAACTTTTCTATTAACTATTTCGCAAGAACACACGAGTCAGTTGTTAACACGTATACAAGTTAATATGTTTTCCAATAGGCTTTGTACACTTTGCAGCACTTGGCAGTGTTTCAATTCCACTCGTTTCACATTTCATCAATTGCACTATTTACCGTTCTATGTTCCGTATTTCGTTGTGCGCACGCGTCGCCGTCTCAAAGCCAACTGTTCGCTTTGCGCCTGTCTCAAATACTTTTTAAATGTGCTTCGCGACCTGTTTGTATTGTTGTTGTTGTTCCTCCTCATACAACAACAGCTTAAAGCAAGCCAAGCAAAATGTGTTAAATACTTTATGCAAAATGCATCTTGGCTGGCGGCTTCGGTGGCGCATACGCAATTACCAAAACCGGTCAGCGTCGACGGTTTGCTGAGCTTTTCAAAGCTATCAGCAATGGTTGAAAGCTCTGCCACGTCGAGCTTGAAACATGAATAAAAGCTTGAGCTCAGATAGTGTTTAAGAGAAAAAACGTTACTTATAAAGAGTTTTAAAACTGAAAGACATTGACTATATATTAGCAACAGCAACCTAGGTTTTCTTTGTTTTATTAATAAAGATATATCTTGTTATCATATTAATAAAGATATATATAAATATAGATAGTAATATATATAATATATATAATATAATATATGCAGGATATTTATCGTTTATCATATGTAGTCTGGATTAACTGTAATGCATATAGATTTTATGTTTTATTTCTTCTATTTGCTAAGTTTTTGGGAATATGTATATTTTTTGTAAATATTTATTTTAATAATGAATTTAAAGAACTTCTGCTTCGGAAATTCAGAAAGGATATTTTTTAAATATAAAAAAATTTACATTTACAGCAAGTTGAATCGGTCTTAAGAATATCTCAAATCAAAACATATTTTCAATAAGTCAAAATTATTTAAGTGCAATTACATAATAATCTTTGGCATCTGATAGATATATAATATTTATAATGTACAAATAAATTTGTGATACTATTTATTATTGTTAACATTTACAAATATATAAACATTATATATATATATAAAGAAATTTCAATATAATTTTTTTTAATTACCCTTCTAGCTCTTTGAGCTCTATTTAACAAATAAATTTGTGTTGAAATCTTAAAATTTTCTACCTAATGATATTAAATAGACGTCAAGATTTTCTTAAAGCAAAATTAAAATATGTTCAGAGCTGTCTTAGAATTGCCTTAAATTTGTGCATTGTATGACAGAGAAAAGAAGCCATATATCAAATATAATAGCAGCCTTAAAAGGATGTGTAAATTTTACGAAACTAGAACACGAGCCAAATATGTATGAAAACAACAGCAAACAGCAGCAAGCGAAACCCATGGAGTACATGGCGCACTTTGTAAGGATTGACGAACTGAACCGGTCCGAACCGGACCCGGACCCGGACCTGGCTCCAGACCCGGAGGCAACAATTTGTATCTGCTGGGAGAAGCACAATGAAAATCCAACACGAAATGCTCGTTGAAATATTGCATAGTTTTAACAAGCGTGCGTCCAATGACAACGATGCCTGAATTTGTCAAAAGGCGGCTCCAAAGGGACACCAGGCCAGGCATCGATGATTTGCATTTTTAAAATTAACTAAAAATTATGACAAAATATTTGTGTGTGTGGACGGCTTCAGGTGTCGCCTGCTGCACACATAGCTCCGGTCATGTTTGCTGCCTCATGGTGCAGGCCCGTGTCCATGGCTAACTGAAACTACCTAAAAGTGCCTTGGCTTGTTTTCCAGATGCTTGGCTTACATTTGCCAAGTCACCGTGTAAGTGTGTATGTGCGTGTGCGTGAGTAATAATTGTGATTGTGACAAATTGTCTTTTTGTGCTAAATTTGCTCGGCCGCATCTCCTGCTCGCATTTAAAGCGTCCCATTTTATTTAGCCAAATATATGTAAATTGCTAACTTCTGTGGCTACGGCCACATTATGTAAATATTGTATGTTTAGATAACTGATTATGGGTCTGAGAGGAAAATAGCAAATTGAAAGCGGAAAATAAACTGCAAATCTGCACAGCAAAATTGTTTTATTATAATATTTAAATATAATCATATTCCGGTACGCAAAAACAAATATATTTAAATATTTCATAATATTATATTATGAGATAATGGTATGGTAATGCACATATGTTTTATATTTATGTAATATAATTTAATATTTTGGCTGAAATAGCATCCACAGGATTACAAGTACAGGGTATATATATATACTTACAAATAAAGGGTATAATTTAAAATTCAGGGTATTTTTGTAAATTTTAAAATACTGTTGTATTGCGAAATACTTAATCTACAGTACATTTTCATATTCTGACAAATTATTTATTAATTTCATATATATCCGAATAAAAGTGAACAAATTACATTAGATATCATTCACACACAACATTTAAATGATTTAATATCAAGTTCCTGTCCAGCTACTATAACAATTTGCATATGCTTGTTTCCATCAAAGACGACTTAAGTTAATCCCGCTATCATACAAAATGGCGACAGATAAAGTTTGATTGTGATTTCGGTTGGATTATGAAGCGATTACGTAAAGCGACGCCGCACAATGCGCCCGTCATTAGAATGAAGATTGAAATTCAAACGTTGCGGAATTTTCGGACTCTATTGTCACGGGGTTGAGCACGTTGCACGCTTAGAGTTGTCGCGCACTGTCCTTCTGTCCAGGGTTGCTGTGCACGCTTGACTAACGGCGTGTGCAGCGGCCCGGCTGCCGCAAAGTATGCAATGGCAGCTCTCAAGTGCCTGCTGACTACGCTCGAAAACTTTACCAAAAGCTAATCATAATTTTCTCACAGATAGCGGGCAGCTGTCTCGCTCTCTCTCTCTCTGTCTCACTCTCTCTCTCTGTCTCCCACTTGTGCACGCGCCGCAGCAGCTTTAGTTTAGCTCTCGCTTGCAGCTTTTATCAGCTGCAGCTTTACTTTTATATTCAATTTTTCGTGAACCGCAGCGCCATAAGCGCCACGTTATTGTCATGTAATTGAATTTAATGGCAATACGAATGGATCCGCATCCGGGGGCGGTCATTCAATGTATTAGCCGGCGATTATCTGGCACTTTTGTGCTGCGCTTGCAACATTGGGCAACAATGCACGCCTGCGACTACTCCCAATGCGCAGGGGTTCGCGTTTTTTAAGGTCAGCCAACAAAGTTTTTTGTTTTTTTGTTTTCTGTGTGCTTTGGCATTAGCCGAACGACCTCAAGTGCACGTTTGAATGGTAAAAATATATATATTTTGGCTAGTTTTCTACTTGCATTCACGTATCATTAGCTACATTTGCAGTAATCTGCGCTTTCCAACACTGGAAGCTGGTATTACCTAAGCTGATTGCAGCAAGCTGACTTAACAGCGCATATGCCCGCATTGAAGTGCTATGCAACGGCTTTTTACATAAGTGTAATCCTGTCATGCGATTTATAAAACTTTTCATTTGCGTATTTCACAACACTGAAAGTTGTTCCGTCTCTGTTTAAAGTCGACTTAAACCAATTAATTCCCTTTGCAAGGGCTTACATAAGTATAATCCTGTCATATGATATTATTTAAAACTGAATCTCAGCCATCGACTTAAGCCAGTGCACACCAATTAAAAGCTCTTTACAAGGGGCTTCATTAGTATATTTCCAATTATAATCATCTGATATGAATGCAGTTGCCGTTTGGGCATGTGGCAACACTTTAAATGGTTTTTATTTATATATTGATAAGGAATAGGACATGCTGTTCTGATTTATATTGCTGAAGTTATTTACTTAATTTAACTATATACAAATCTTTTCTGATTAAGTGATTTTATATGTAAATTTATTAATTTTGAATTTTACAACACTATTATAATTGTTGCTCTTCCACTTAGATGAACTGTTAGATAAATGAATACATGATTTATTTACGAAATTCTGTCATTTACTTAAATAATCAAATTCATTTTTTTTTATTTACCAACACTGCAAACTGATCGTTTGAACTACAAAAATTTATATGATATATGATATGATGGAAAAACATCCTTTATATATCAACATACGCATATATGTTATTCTGTCATATTTCTTACTCAATATTTTCGAGCTTTCCCATACTGTAAGTAGTCCATATATCTCAATCATTAAATTCAATCATTCGAGTTAACTCTATATATCAACTTATACATATATATTATAGTATTATATTTTTTACTTGTTATATTTCCGAATTTTACAAGACTTTACGTAGCCCATATATTCCATTCATGCAATGGAGCCATTGATAGCATTCAAGTTGACTCCATATATCGAGGTATACATACATGTACAGGCATAATTGATACTTCATATTTTGGTATTCTCCAACACTGTAAGTTGAAATATATCTGATTCATTCAATTGAACCATAGCAAGCACTCGAGTTAACACTGCGTATGCTAAAGAGTTTGGCATGTTTTATATATGGGTGCAGATGAGTGTAATCCTGTCATATGCTTTAGTGATTTAATACATAAACTTCTGCTAGGCACTGTTCAGCCCATCAGCGGCATCTGCGGCATCTGTGGCGTTCGCTGTCAGTCAGTCAGTCAGTCTTGGCGCCATGTCAGCGCCATTTCACGGTATCACGTGTGTGTGTGTGTGTGTCCATGTCATAGGACAACCGCTGCAGCATTGTTGTTATTGTTATTCCGTTGTTGTTGCTATCCAATTTTTAATTAATGAGCGACGGCAGTGCGTGGCACAAATGTTTACATGTCATCTCTGTTGCATGCCATCGACCTCGTGTTCGTCCGGTATTTTTGTGATAGACCGCGCACACCCACGCACACACACGTGTTGGAATGGCAGGTAAATTTGTTCATTTTGAAACTAAGCAGCTTTCTGGCCATGTTTGCCTTTTATTTTGTCTATTTCGCTTAAGTCCCTCAACTGCGACAGGGTATCTGCATATTTAATTGCGCGCCTCAGTGTTTGCATTCGATTTGTCGCGTGCACTTGGAGAATTTATAGTGGCTTGCAGAGATTTTTTAATCTTATATTGCCCAAGATCCGAACACTGAAATAGTGTGGGTAAACACGTAAAAGCAGTGTTGTTAAATCAATTTGTAGACATGAGTCCATATTTCTTATCATTTGTTTTCTCAGTTTTCTCAGT